ACTAATTAATGCCAATATGTCGTAGTGCATCAAGTTTATTGACAAAAAGATTTTTATTTCGTCAAATAAATGTTCTAAGCAATGATGTAATGCAGCTTGACAGTAACCATGCCTGTCTATGATCCTGTATCGTGGGCAGTACCTAATACATTTTAAACTCGATTGAATACTGACTTATTTTAGAGAACAATTAAGAGATTAATCACGAAAAAAAGCAAAATATTGAGAGCATTTGAATAGAGTTGCTATCACATGATGAAACATCAAACGACAAAACTACGTGATGGAGAAATGCATAAAAATAACGCCAACATGACGGTGAAAGTGGGTATATGCAAACGCACATGCGTCAGTCTCCTGGAAACCAGGCAAAAATAGAATATCTTGTAGGTGAGTTGATTAACTGCAGCTCTAATGTCGCGTAAAAAATTGCATCCACCTTCGTCAGTCATGTCAAGTCAGGAATTGTGTATTGTTGGGTGAAATGTATGGGGGCGTAGCTCTTCAGACTGAATATGTCAACCAGAGTGGGTCAGACGAGGGCCCAGCTCCGATGGATCGAGGTTGAGGAAAGATGCATAAAGACTTATTCTCGTAACTATGCCGTCTCGGCTACAGAACAACCCTACTTCGGGTTTCAGTCAAGTCGGTTGAGAAGACTTTACATACAATTTTTCATACATCGTGTGAGACCGAATCACATAAGTACGTTAATGGAGTGGTTTATTCATTTTTTTCACACAATCCAAATCGGGCTACTGATTTCACCGACAAAATCCATTCAGAGTGTTCAGGGTGGACATTGACTAACAAGCATCCAGTTGTTTGAAGACCACAAAACACGGTGGGGCAAAAGGGACGACTTGGCAAAAGAGAATATCACTTGGCAATTAGGGTCGAGGTGCAGCCGCTGAAAGAACAGGGGTCTTGGGCCTCTGTCTTGGGGGTCAATCTGCGAGAGGCTCTTTTCAAAGTGCAAGGTTTGGCTGACAGGAGGGCTTTTGACGTGAAGACTTTCACTTCCTAAACAAGTGCACGAGGAAGAGATTCGAAGGTCAGCGTCGGTTGTACTTCAGCCCTCTGGCGACGTTCAGGTTGATGCAGTTCGTGGAACATCCTCCATACTTCGCACGAAGACGGGCTGAGCTTCTATTGCCAGAATGGAAGAGGGTGAATACATCTCATAAACATGCTCTACTGGTAGTCACGTCGACCAATTTATACCCTCCTCTGGCGGTATTATCACGGTTTATTTTGGCAGAATACCACCAAGTAAATGCTTCCACGGACCTTTCGTTGGCCTCACGTTCGGCGTCGTCAAAATGACAACCTTTGAGTAGAGAATCGGTCGTGATTCACCAGCCTGGAGTTGCTCACTGGTTGTGCCGACGAAGGTTATATGCATTTATTCGTTTAAGAATTCGATGCTGGAGGTAGGCATGACAACACTGGCAGAGATCGCTTGACGTCAGGTAACCTTTTCCGCAGTCCTCTTGGCACCAAGACCAAGTTATTAAAACGAGGCAACTAAGAGTTTGGATAAATTAGGTTGTTGAGACTATCACTAAGCGTTGAATTAGAGTTCTAGCCGGCTCAGGTGACTAGTTGACTGTTAATTGAATTTGTATACAATTCTATGCAAGTGGGCTCCACGTTTCCACATGAAGTATTTTCACACAATTGTTGAGCTTACTTCCATTTCGAGTGGAAGTGTTGGGTCAGCTCTAGTCACATCATTGTGGGAAAATTCTACTACCAGTCCTTCATCACCTTAAACTAAATTTGCTGAATACATCTCGTATTACTGATTTACTCGTAGTCTCAAAACTCTACTTACACACGAAAAATATTATTGGAAAGTTTAAAAATTCTCATATTCACTGGTTTCAAAATATTCTCAATTACTTCCGTTTCAAAGGCCAGGTCGGCCATTTCGAGCTAGAGGCTCGGATTGGATCTGCTGAAGTTCGGAAGTGTGATTCCGATCGCACCATTTTCAAAAACATGGTCCTCATCTTCGTGATGTAGAATCTGATTACACTTCGGTTTGGACAGGGTGACGCATTGAACTCTGAGACTTGCTGCTGATAAGATTTCAGCTTTCTAGCTCCCAAAATTTGTGTGCTTTTGATTAATACTCCCTCCATTGAGTGTCACGGTATCCAATACCAACAGTTTTGAAAGTTTACAACGAATAGAGCACCTGAGCTTGAGTGTCGATACCGGCTTTGGAAAAGAGATTGTTGGAGGACTTTCATTTTGTATGAAAATGCACGGAGAAGAGATTCGTTGGTCGATTTCACCGGAAGAGGACGGATGAATCCGGTTGTATATGACATTCAGGTTGACACAGTCCAACGTTTGGGGTGAAAGCGAACTGAGTCTTCTTCATCATCTGAAGGACATCATCCTAGCTGGGGCTCATTCCTGTAAAAGTCTCACATTAACACTAGGACAAGAAGGCTATCCGGCTCTATATTACCTCTTATTTGGACTGAATTAAGCAAAAGAAAAAGAAAAACCTACATAGTTATAGATTGGTTTGGCTAATTACCTTTCATACTGGTTCTGCTACTTTTGCTCGAGTGTGTGTGTATATGTATGTGTGTGTGTGTTAGCGCCTATACGCAATACCGGTCACAAATCAGAGTTATCAAAAGGCTCTGATCGTCAAGGCATAATGACCAGAGAGACCCTTGACCCTTACCAAGACTGTGTAAGTCTGTAAACAGGTATGTTTGAGATATGAGCTTGTAAGCATGTGAGTCAAGTTACGAAACTACTTGTCCTAACCTCTCAGTCTAGGGTCATTGACGTTTAGCCACCAAAGTAAAGGTAAGACTGGGGCTACGTAATCTCGTACGTCTGGTTTGGTTGATGAGCTTAATCTAACATGTTGGACGAGTGTGAATGAAGTTAGAACCATCACTCGATGTCGTTTCTATGTGAAACGCACATTTCTGTTTAAGGGGATTCATCGAAACCTATTTTCTCTTCATATCTACATTGGAAAAAAGACGTAGAAAAATGGGCCCACATACGGAGTGAGGCAATGTGAGATTATGGCAGCGTAGTTATGATGAGAAGCTAGACTTATACAATTTCGTTGATAGATGGATACTATGGCAGCATACATTTTGTTTAAAAAGGCAAATGGAAGGCCTTCATAGATCGCCTTTACCGGACGCTGAAAGAAGAATATTCTGAAGTTGTGACTGTTGTATAGAGCAAAAAATAACTCTACTCGGGGTCATGCGACCCTGATGAATTCGTGCTGAGATTCCGTTTGTCGTGTGATAGATTCCTCCACTTTTCCATTCTACAAAACTCTCATTTCCCCATACTTTTCCTCTTACGTCACCATTCTTCCATTCTACCCCTATTTACTTCTGCATTCTCTAATTCTCACAACCCCCCATTCTCCCATTCATCTCAATCTCCATTTATTTTATTATCTCATTTCTCTTATTCTATTTTCCCATTTTGTCATTCTCCAATGTTCCCAATCTTCAATATTTCAATCTCTTTCATGCTCGTAATCAGCAGCAATATACAATTTTTCACATTTTTCATTTTTTTATGCTTACGTTTTTACGCCCCCCTCACATCCTCCCATTCTCTTATTCTCCCCTTTTCACCTTAGCTCGGTCTCCTATTCTCCCATTGTCTCGGTTTTTCCTTATTTAATTTTTCTATACTCCAACACTTTAACACTCCCAATCACCCACACTCTTATTCTCTCGATCCCTCGTTTTCCCACACTCTAATCTTCCCATTCTCACAATATTAAAGTCTACCTTCCTCCAATTATCTTATCACTTTAGTCTTCCATCCCCCAACTCTCCAATTCCGTTATTATCGCATCCTCCAATCCATTCATTCTCCAATTATCCTATTTTTCTCTTCACCTAATATCTCCCCATACTCCCAATCTCATACTACCCAATTCACATTATTATGTTCTCCTACTCCCCAATTCTCTCATTCTCATAGTTTCACATCCTCCCTCCGTCCTCACCGGCCCGGATCCCCTTCTCTTCAAATCGTCAAGATTTAGCTTCTCTTTGGTCTCCTTCCTTTCTTGCTGTTGCAACCCAAAGTATCGATTCGATTAATGCATTCCTAAGGCAGATGAGACGACGATTGGTGATAATCCGCTTCGCTTCAGACGTAGCACAGTCGCTGCTGAGATATCTGACAAAACGACACAGAGGGGCAAGTGATGGTACGAGCTTGAAAGAAATCGGAGAAGATTGGAGTGGATCTGAAGAGGTCGGAAGGGATCGGACAAGGCGATATTTATATGGATAGATAGACAGATATATATATATATATATAGATTGATAGATAGAGAAATAAAGAGAGGAATAGGATTAGATCGACGACTGGATGGAATGTGTGTGGGTAGAGAGTAGGTGCAAAGTGTGTCTGCCCCACCGGTTCTGGATGAGGAGCGTAACCAGAGGCTGATGCGTTGGGAGAGCAGATTTCGATGCCCTTGTCTCGGACAGACACCTTCTCTGGCCTGAGATGTTGTCAGGTCCGTGACCAGTCGCTTCGTCTCGGGCCCCGGCGACCAGCCCACCTGATCCTGGCAGCAAGACGGAGCGGAAACCGAACGAGGCGGCTACCCGCCCTGCCTGTCTGCAAGGCAGTGCCATGTCGCCGTCCTTACATCATCGCCATTTTGTATCCTCTCCTCGACATCATACACGCACACACACAAACACACACTGCATTTGTGTTGTCCAGTCGACCTCGTCTGAATCGGCCTCGTCGCGACACCGAACACACATCACCGATTATTCACATGCACACCGGTACCCCAAACATGTGCACATTTACACTAACAATCAGAAAAGGCAGGCAGACAGGCCATCAACAGTCCCGTATAATCGAATCTGTACAGAGCAGCCACAGACCGTCTGGGATCTACATCATTCGGACGTCTAGGCAGGGGGGATGTGGTCTTTGGTACCAACGAGGTCATGCTCCATCGCCTCAAACTCGTCTATCATTTATGTCTGGTTGCCTGGTCGTCCCGTTGTTCCATTTTTCCATTGTCCGGTTGTCCTTTTGTCTGGTTGTTCCCTCATAAAGTTATCCTTTTGCCCGACATTCCTATTTTCCCGTTCTCCTGTTCTTCAGTTGTCCAGTTATCTCGATTTTCGGTTATTGAATTATCTCGATGATTCATTGACCTCATCCGGCCTCGTCGTCAAGGCAGACGACAACGTGGATCTTCCAGGGCGGCTGTGCCGAGACCACAGGCCATTTTTGGTGTGTTGGTGTCGAAGAC